GGGGGGGGGGGGGGGGGGGGGGGGGGGGGGGGGGGGGGGGGTCTGGGAGGAGAAGCCTTCCTTAAAGTGAAACACATAATTGGGCAATGTTTACCTCAGGTGAGAGGAACTGCCAGTTCTCTGTGCACGCTCTCAGAAATGACCTGGGGTTAATAATTCCAAAAAAAAGAAAAAAAGTTGTGCAAGAATTTTTGATGTACGCCTGTTGGACTTTGACTTGTGAGTCAGTTAAGCAACTCCGACCTGCTGAGCCACGGACACAGGGTACTGGTGAAAGTAAGAACACCCAGAGAGCAGCTTTAAAGAGACACCGAAGCGCCAGGACCTCCTAAGCCCGGCTTTCCTTCTGGCAGAAGGGAAATGGCAGAGTTAAAGGTAAGAAACCATCTGGCTGGATTTGGATTAAGATCAGAGAGTGTGCCTGGGGGCGCGTCGCTTAAACTGGACCCTGTGCACCTAGCGGGTGTCAAGCCTCAATGCCACACATAGAAGAATGGGAGAGAAATGGACAGAAAGCAAGAAAGGACGGCAGAGCAAGAGGGGAGAGGTGTCTAGCGAGTTTATTGTGCCTTCTTCAGAAGTCTTCTGGTGTCGGAGTTGTAAAAGACTGGTGGGTTGGGGCTGTAGAGATGGCTTAATAGGTAAGAGGACTTGCTGCTCTTCCAGAGGACCTGAGTTCAGTTCCCAGAGCCCACTCAGCAGCTCACAAGTCCAGCTCCGGGGCATCTGACACCCTCTTCCAGCCTGGTGGCCTCTGCAGGCTCATGTGCACATACACACCTACATAAACACACGAGCTCGCTAGCTCTCGCACACGCAGGAACACATGCGCACCTGAAGGGGCTCGGCCTAAACCCCTGTGTTCAGCCGATGTGCTGCGGGGTTAGCGGGAGTTGACTGAGCTGAGCTAACAAGGAAGAGATGACAAAGGAGGCAATAGCATCCTTGCCTTTGTTAGTTCCTAATGTTGTCTCGAGGGCCTGTGATCATGCTGAGAGCCCCCTTCTACATGGACACACACATTTCTCCACTCCTTCCCCACTGCTGTCTGTCATCCTGAGCCTTCCTGGACTGCTTTAGCCAGCCAGTTTAATGTGCTCAATCTACTTAATCGTCTGGTGGTTCAGACTCAGCTCTGGACAGAACCTTTCGTTTGGTGTAAGAGGTAGGTACTTTAACTATGCATGAATGCTCTTCACGGTAAGCTTGGGGTGTGGGTGCCATTTTATATCTATTTTAAACCAATAAGGAAAGCAAGGTGGAGGGACCCGTCCAGGGTTCCCGCTGGTAAATCATGGGGACCTCAGTAGAACTTGGGCTTGTCAAGAAGTTCAAATCTCAGGCCCCAAAGGGAAGGTTGGTGGCACCTATTTGGCTGGTACTTTTGGGCCAGGGATAAGAAGTGTGTTCCCGGTGTCTAAAACTCTACCTAGTGCTCAGCACCCGGAACTAGAGCATCCTAGTAAATTTGCTGAAGCCAAGTGAGACGGCCTCCCTACATCTCTTCCTGGGATGCAGGGACTGAACATTGATCGCCAGGAAGCCTTCTAATCAAAGCTGGGATGGTGAATCCAGCAGGCCCCTAATTAATAGACACCTTGAAGGTGCTTAGCACCGTGGTAAGGGGATTTTCTCCTTTATCTTCACCCCAGATTGAGAGTTAGCTCTCATCCTGTGCTTAGTTGGTGGCATTGCACTTAATGCAGAATGGGGATGGAGAAACTTCTCAAGGGAAGCTGTCCCTAGGTAAAGTGACAAAGGATTAGGATGGAGGAAATACCCCATGTGAAGATGCAAAATACCCAGAAAGTTCTGTGGGCTTCAGGAACCTAGTAGTTCAGCTAAATTGGAGGCTGCTGCATGAAAGGAGGTTCCCAAGAGGGGATCAATGTGTGGATCTGAATCACAGGGGAGCAGGCATAGAGAATGGGACCATCATGCCAGGGGTGTAGTTGAGGATGTGGAGAAAGGAGAATCCTTCAGTTTTGTTTTCTGATGGAAATCTTATGAGACAGCTCATCAAGGGAGGAAACACTCTTACCATTTATAAATAAATCATATCAAAGTCCTGTACTGCCACAGTGTTTAAGCAACTTATTATGCAAAACGCCAGCACATGCAAATGGCACGCTGGCCTTTGTTCTCAGCTTCAAAGGCTTGCCCTGCCTGCTGTCTAATGGATCTCCAGAAGGAAAGGTCATTTCCAGAGGTCAGGCATCTCGACACAGAGAGCCAGATTAAAGCACACCCAATAAACATTATATATTAGTATATATAATATTATATAATCAATAAACATTATAAAACTTAATTTAAAACGTTTCTCACATTTCCTCCATCATTTCAACGGCTATGTCAACACAAAACCTTGAATGAAACCATGTTGACATAAATAAAAGCATAACTAGGGGAAGCAAAGTCAAAAGCTAAAATGATCCCATGAAGTTCAAAGTTGGACTTCCTGCCACTTCGGCTCTCACATGGAGAGCTAGTTTCACATGCCCGCTTCAGGCCGGAAATTATTCTTACGATGAAAAGACACACTGGCCCATAGTTTCCTGTTGGGCTACACCAAATTGCCATAAACTTACTGGGTTAAAATAACACAAGCCTTCCCCTGCATTTCTGGAGAGTGGATGTCCCTCTAGGCCAATATCTAAGTGTCAGCATGGCTGAGCTTGTCTGGAGGCTCTGAAGACTCTTTCTGTGGCTTCAATTTCTAAAGAGCCTACATTCCTCGGCTCCCAGCACCTCCTTTATCTTCACACTCAGATCTCTGCTTTCTCTTTTCCATATCTTCTACTGCTGTCCAAACAGGATACAGGCGATTACCTTTGAGAACACTCAAAAAATCAGCAGCCTTCCCATCCCCAAAGCTGTTTGCTTATTCACATCCGAAGAAGAAGTATATCTGATCACATTTCCAAATTCATTCCGAGTTACCTCAGGGCAACTGGAAAATCACCTCAGGACGGACCTTCCTTAGGCTCCTTCCCAAAGAACGGAGACCAGCGAAGACAGCTAGTAATAAGGTGACAGAGACCAGAATGAAGAATTCAGTGTCTCTAGTCGGGTTTTTCTTGAGATGGGCATATGAAGACTGCAATTTGCCCCCACGACTTGAGCCTCCTCCAGTGAAAAACATCTGCTCTCCCTCCTCCGGCCAACCCGGGAAGACAGAATTCGCTGCGAAAGGATTCTTCTGGTTTTTAACTTTGCAGTCAGGGGCTGTTCTGTGCAGCCACAAACTCAGGGCGGGTATTTGAGACAGACATGAGACTATGCGTCCACTAACTCGCTCACTACGTCTATGGCCATCAGTTTACCTTTTAGCGTTGGTTTGCTCTGGGACAGGAAGGAGTAGGTGCTTGTTTTTACCCTCACGGATCTACCTCTTCACTCTGTGGCCCGTGGAAGCGCTGCATTGTGAGCCCCAAGTTGTTTCTCTGGTTCTTTTTTGTCTGTTTTGTTTCATCTTTGTCTTTCCTCTCTTCCAGACAAGGTCTTGGGTAGCTGGGGAGGGTGGAGGAGAGGTTGAGCTCACTACTCAGAGCGTTGACCTTGAACTTTTCTTCACGTACCTCCCAAGTACAGAAATCACAGGCTGAGCCACGGCCTGTGACTCCTGGTTTATTGTTAACTAACCAATAACACCCACTTTGAGGACTGTTTGCCAAAAGGTTGGGGTTTCAAAGTTCTAAGCTGTCTACTTAAAAGCCAGTGCCCGGCAGTTGTAGGCATTAAGAAATAAGAAACATAGTCATTCCAGACCATTAGTCAGCCTGCAAGTTTCCTTAACAACCTAGATTTTATGATCCCATTAAGGTTAGCCAGGAAAACTGGATCCTTTCACAGAAAAAAAAAAAAAAAAAAAAAAAAAAATTAAAAAAAGAGGAGCCCTAGGCCTCTCTCTCTCTCCCCAGACTCGTCCCTATTTCCATAGCACCAAGTAAAAGGAAATGAGGCCTGATCCCCCATCCAGAAGAAGCTGACTCAGAAGAAAGTACCTCTTATAACGACTCTGACAAGTAAATCCTATCCTGGGGACCAGGTGAGAACCAAAAAGCTGGATGCGAGCGCTGCCGAAGAGGTGACAGCACCAACTCACGAGGGCCCCAGAAATGTATTCTTTCATTTAACGAGCATGGAAAGAAAGAAGACCGTATTTTTATATAGCACCAAATTATTCAGAAATCTGAGCTGAAGGAAACATAAACACGCTCCCTGAATGTCAGGTTTTTATTTCGTATTTTGCAGAAGGCGCGTCTTTACATAATCCCAGCGGCTGCGGGAGTGCGGCGCTTGGGTTTTTCACAGATGATAAAAGGACAGTTCAGATTCTGTCCTTGGACTGGGAGCCTTGAGACAGCAGCTGCAAAACACAGCTCCCCCCACCGCGAAGCCTTCTTCGGCGGCGGCAAAGCGCCCCATCTTAAAGCTCTGTAATTTTGCTCCGGGAGGGTTAGGAGGACCAGCCTGCTAATGGTGACTCAGCACCTTCCACCTGCTCTTTAAGCTAGTGCACTTCCATGGGGTGGAATAAAAAAAGACTCAGAATTCCTCCCTCCCTCCCTCCTTCCCCCTTTCCCTCAGAGCTCTGAGGGGTGGCTGCCTTCCCAACCAACAGCTGTTTCTGTCTTCTTTCCCTTTTTCCTTAGAGCACATCCTTAATCAAATGGTTCAGATTCACTAGCTCTGGTTTTCCCCTTGTTCCTAATGCACCTCAAACTTCTGTTGAGGTGGGGGGGGGGGGGCGGTTACAATGAGCAGCGGAGGTTAATCAGTGAATCCGCCCCTGCCTGCCAGAAAGCTCAGTTGGCTGCGGAGCTCTTAGGCCTCTCTTCCTCCCCGCAGATAGGAACAATGTGGCAGCCCAACAAAGAGAGAGGGGCCGCTGTCCTCCTCGGCCCGGCTTCTGTCGCAGGCTGATCTTCAATTCTGTTTCACAGAGCTGAAGATAATTTGCGGTCATTACTGATTCTCAGCGGCTCCGATTCAGTCCTGTTGGTGGTGAGCACAAGGCTCATTTTGAGAGAAGAAAATTGTACTCAGCGGAGGTTCAGGGTAGTGGATCGCCTCTGCCATTACCCCAAAGCTATAATTCCGTACTGCGTGCAGCTTGGAACACATCTCATTATAATAGAACTTGGTTGGGGGAGGGGGTTTGTTCTGATAAATTTTCAGAGAGATTTAAAAACTAAAACTGTGGGGGGTTGAGAGGTTTAGCTCAGTGGTGACATACATGAGGCCTCAAGTTCAACCCCCCAGCAACACCCTTCCCCGGACCAAAAAAAAGTGTCTGACGGGCAAATGAATAATTTCATTCCCGTTGCTTTCTAGGTCATAACATTTCACATTTCATATTCCTTCCAAATATAGACACCGCTGGTCTGATGATTGCTCACACATATCCAGCCTGTGTTACAGCTAGCTCATTCTTCCCCTGCCAAGAACTTTGAAGGGCCTACCCTCCGCCCACACCCATCCTTCTTATATCTCTTACAGAACTGTGTTCAGATGGTGGCATTTCACTCACCCAGTAAGGCTGCGCTCTCCCTATAGTGGGCTAAAACCAACTTGCTTTTACGTTAGAGCAAAGGGAGATCAAATCCCACTCACCGTGGCAATCACGCACTTTGAGGTCTAGTCCTGAGGGAGAAACTCCCAATGGAGGCTCACTGAATGGCTTCCATGAGCGGAGACACAGAGGTAAATAAAACCAGCATAGTCCCAAACTTCAGGAAACATAGCCGAACAGGGAAGCCAGACAGTGTCAGCCCAGTTGGGTGTGCTAAGCATTTACAAGTGTAATACGTCTTGGGGCTCAGTGGGTAAGCAGTAACTGAGCGAGGATGTTGCAAAAATCTGCCACCCATCTTCAATGGCCCTAAGCACGATTTCATGCAACCTTTTTGTAAATACATTTCCAGAGAGGAAACTAAGATGTTTCAGGGGGCTAATGGGATTCCAAGGCATCTAGAGGTTGGGGCAACCTCCCATAGAGAGGCACCATGGGCTCTCACAGTCTGTAGACCAGCAGATGGCTCTGTCAGCTGTGCATTCATTCTCCAAGAAACAGGGAACATATAACTTAGAGCACAACACAACAGATGACAGCAGTTGGTCCTAGTTGAGCTGTCTGTGGACATTAACCTGATAACTGAGATCTTGGACAATCAGTGTTTATTGGTATAAGACCTGGGGTCTCACAGCTCAGGAGTTCAAGATCGCGCCCTTCCCAGAAACTCCCACAAACCACGACTTGAAAAGCAAGAGGTTTATTAACCATTGCTCAATGGGGTCACCCCTGCCAGTCAGCAAAGAGTGGCACCGGGAGACAAAGGCTTTTAGGTTTTTAAAAGAAAAATTGCGGGAGATTTGAAGTTGCAGTTTTGGCAATTTAGGATTGGATGAGGAAGCTATCAAGTAAGATAATTGGTTAGTCTTAGGTTCTCAAGCTTGGCCAGTCCTGCCAAGTGTGGCTGCAGCTGTAATTGAAGGTGGGGTTGGTTAGCTCATCCTTGAAGATTTGGGCTGCGGGCTCTTGGCTGGAGGTCAGAAGCTACTCAGAAGTCTGGGTTGGTTGCTAAGAAACACTATCTTGAAGATGAGGGTCTGGTTGTTCTTTTTGCTGAGTGAAGGTCATTGCTTGCTTGCTTTTTTTTCTATCTGTCCTCACAGATAATCACATTTCTCCATTCTCTGGAAAGGTGATAAGAGGCTTTAGCTTAACCTGGACCTAAAACTCAAAACTATAGGCTTTAGAAGACATACAGGTTACAAAGTTAGTCTAACCCTTTCATTGGCTTTAGCAATTACCATCAATAAAGCAGTCTTTACAGGGGGGATAAATTTCAGGGGGCTCCTGTAAGTTACCTTGTTGAGAAACTTGATTTTCCCCTCCGTGTTATGAACCTGAGACGGCAATCAGAGCAGGCTCCCCAAGAGCACAGCTTGTACACGCACCCACGCAGGGACTCACAGGCACACACACTATAGATAACCCAGGTGAGGTTGGCTCCCGTGGAAGGAGTTTTCTAGCAAGCATCTTCCGGTCACTCGAAAGCCACCTCTTCCCAGTCTGGGGTGTTGGTTTCTTGTTTATTTCTTTGTTTTAGGGTGTGCAGTCCCGGGAAAAGGAATTGCAATGTAGAGCCAGCAGGTTCCTCTTGATTTGGAGTCGAAACGATGCCTGTGCCATCTCCCTTCTAGGAATTTCCACATAGAACCAAAATTAAAGAGCTCATTCTTGAAATGGGATCATTAAAAACAAGCTTAATAAAACCAGTCAAGAATGGTTAAGGGTAGAAAAAAAAAGTCTGTGAACTACCCAGCATTCCTCTGGTTAACTGCAAATATTTAAATACACACAACACTTAAGGGTTCCTAAACGGTTGGCAGCCGAGACATAGCAGATATTACACACAGAGAGCATCATACACAGAGACATACCCTCCCTCGTAGCTGTTCTTGCCTTTGTAGAAAGGCAGTGTTGTGAAAACGTCCTTTCAATCCTATTCAGGGCTGGAGTATGATTTAGCAGATCTATCAATTGCAGCTCAGGTTCAAGGACCAGTGTTTGGATCCCCAGAAGGCACCAGCTTGTAAGAAGTAGAGGGTCAGGAGGTCCTGGAGCAAACTGGCTAGCCGGCCTAGCAGTGAACCTCCAGTTCAGAGAGAGAGAGACTCTACCTCGGTATATAAGGTGGAGAGCAAGCAGGAAAGGCATTCAGTATCAACTGTGCTCCTTTACACACACACACACACACACACACACACACACACACACACACACACACATTCACCACGCATATGTAAGCCTATGCGCACATGAACAAATAAATAAGTCCCAGTAACAAAAGAAAACCGTGTCTTTGTCACATGTAGTACATTTCCGGATTCGGGAACGAGTGTGCTTCAGAGGACCCTCGCTGTCCAGGTTCCCTGCCAGAAGGACAGGTAAGAGTGAAGGGAACGCTGGGAGAGCTCCAAGCTGAAGACTTGGAAGACAAGCCTGGAGGCCAAAAACTGCCCCCAAACACAGTTCTCCTACTTTAGCAGGTGAACTTTCGGTTTCCAGGATCGCTAGGACAATGGCGTTACAGCACAGTAGCAATAAAAATGTCAAAACTGGACTTAAATTGTTGCTTAGCTACAGCAAATTGCCAAATTAGTGAGATTAACTGCTGCAGGACTTCCAGGATATACCCTCAAAGTCCAGGATTGGAGCAACTTTCTGGGAGCTCCTTTTTTGCTGCATCAGACACAAGTATGACTAAAAAAAAAAGTTACTTAAAAAATATATGCACGGTTACAGCAGCAAAAACTACAGTAAACAGGTTTATCATCAAAACTTTTTGGTGGCTATTTCATGGCATAAAAAATACTTATCAACTGGGCATAGTGGCATACACCAGGAAGCCCAGCACTCCTGGTGGGCAGAAACAGGGGGATCTTGAATTTGAGAGCAGGCTGTTTGAGAGCAGGCTGAATTTGAGAGACCTGTCTCAAAAGCAAAATAAAAGAAATGCTCATGACATAGTATGTCCTTTTCAAAAGGAAAAAAAAAATGACTAGTTATTACATATGTCTCTAGGACCCTCACTCTGAGGTAAGCATGGAAAGAAATATTCAAACAATATTGGGCTACTTCGGTTGGTGAGGTAAGGGGTCACCCCACGTGATGAATTTTCCACAATAAACCTGTATCACTCCCATGATAGGGGAAGTTACGGAAGTATTCCAAGTAAACTTGGGTTGGGAAAATAACATGCGGTGGCCCAGAGCCTCCCCGATTCAGGCCAGGATCCAACCCTCTCTCCTCAGTCCCCGTCCGCTCCACCAACACCCACACAGTGAACTGTTTGGTGGGAAGGTAGGTGCTTTGGATATTGGAATGACGCTGTGTGTTGGCTCCTTTGTTTTAGAATAATCCTCAGGTCTGCCCCTACAATCTCTACGCTGAGCAGCTCTCAGGATCCGCCTTCACCTGTCCACGGGGCACCAACAAGAGAAGGTGCGTGATGAGATCGGTTCTGACTTACGGTAGGTGGGAACTGTATCCCAGCCACAGTCTCCCCAAGGTCCTCCTCGTGAGCTGCATTCTGGGTCACACCAGGGGCTTCCAGACTTGTTCACAGTGAGTGGTTGGCAGCAGAGAGCTAGGGAACAGCCGTCCAGAGGCAAAAAGCAGAGTCCAGTTCTGTTACCAAGGCTCACTAGAATTCCACAGGAAATGTTTCTCAACTCTGACTTTCCTCTGAGGATTGTATAGTTTCAAATCACAGTCAGAGAAGAGTCAGACATCTTTCTCGGCTGACCGGAAGAATGATGTTCTTTCCATGAAAACTGCTAATCCCAGCGGAAGTGCTTGAAAGGTGCTGCAGTGTGGCCCGTTGCGATTTGAGTTTAGGAGGCTTTTCCTCTTTGGAACTTGCCTTTCCTGGGAACCAGTGCATTCATTAGCACAGTATGGCTTGTTCTGTGCTCACTCTAATCCTACAAGCTACCTCATGAACTTGCTCTCTAATCGGCTTCTACAGAGTAGGTTAGGTGCAAATGCCGAAGACCCAGGAGGCAGTTAGGTGTTGTTATTTGAATAAATCGTATCTAATTGTAGGAATTTCAGGTCAGGTATGTACAAAGAACGATGTCGCTGACTTTGGAGATTTGAAGGAGAGTTGGAATGGGTCTTATGCTGCCTAAATAGAAGGAGGGAGTGGGTTTGTCTCCACTGGCTTGAGTCCTCCTGAGAAGCAGACAGGCCAGTGAGCACAACAGCACAAAGAGCCATGTGGATGCTAAATATCGTTTCCCTTCATAATGGACCGTCCACTCTGCAGGCAGGCCCCGTGGTTCAGTTCTTGCTCCTTTGTCTATAGCTGTTTGGCACTGAACAAGCTGTCTACCCTCTCAGATTGTCTTCATCTGTAAACTGGATCTCGAGAGACAATGTAGGTGAAGGGATAGGGGAAGATATAGAATCTTGTGTATTTGTCAAAACAAACAAGCAAGCAAGCAAAGATTAAGCTGGGCATGCAGTGAATGCCTGTAATCTCTGGAAAGGGACTGGAGGGAGAGATCCTGGGCTGAAGCCAACCTGGACTACCTACCGTGTCTCAAAACACCAAAACCGACTAAGCAGACACAACACAAAATCAGACAAGCCTCCAGAGGCTGTTTCTATTGTCGTTTAACTGTCTCTTCCTTAGACAAGATAAGATAATCCACAAACAGCTCCTATCTGCTCCAATGTAAGACAGCCTGGCCTCCATGTCTGTGTTCTTGACTCCATAGTCCATCTACACACAGGTCACCTGGTCTCTGGAATCTGCCTCCTGCCCCCATTATTCAGCAATATCTTCAGCCAGCAGGAGCTGAGCTCTGTTCCCGGAGGCTGGAAGGGAGCTGTTGGCATTTCATTAAGGAGCTGGCAACATTCCCTGCATCAGAATTAAATCTCTGTCCAGGGCAATGTAGTGTAGCCTGGGGAGTTTTATAAACTCAGCTGAAAAATAAGGGACACTAGGCATGGCTCACCCATCTGCTCAGAACTCCCTAGGGGTATGCAGGGGACTTTTATGAAAATGCTCAAACCTCCAGCAGGAAAGTGTGTCCTGCCTGCAGTTCTCAACTAGTCACTTAAACCCCAAAGCACTAGAAACACTAAAATCGTTAGAGGTTCCATCTATCTCTTGAGACAGAGAATGTGGAAAGTTTAAACTGTGGTTAAAAACCCATGATGATGAAGGGAGAGCAATTCAATAACTGTCCAGTGAATGAGTGCCTACACATGCCTGGGGTTTTAGGTAGGTGAACTTGCAGTTTTTATCCCAACCCTATGGGATGAAGATGAGGAGAACAGGACCTGGGCAGTTGAATCATACAGCCAGTGCTGAGACGTACAGACGTGCTCAGCCCACAGACTCCTGGGAGCTGGAAAGGCTTGTTGAGTCCAGGGCCCGACACCATGGCATCAAGAGCTGGAGGATGCTCAGTGTCCAGACAGGCCACCTTCGCTCCTGGAGCACCACAGGTCTTCCATTGTCACGGAAGGTGCTCCTCCCTCCTCACCCTGTCAACCACTGGGAAGACTCAGTGAGACACAGTGTCCCTCTCACCTTTAGGATTCCCTCAGCAGGCTCTTTTCCCATTCCTTGAGGCAGATTTGATCCTGGAAAGAGACCTTCAGTTCGGGCCTTGACGTACGCAGACAGCAAAGCTTAACAAAGAAAAGAAAAGCCAAAGCAAAACATAAATGCAGCACTAGTTTTTAAACTCTACTTTGGGGTTTCCTAAAGCCACTCCCTCCTAACCCCCCAACCCTAAGGAGGAGAGAGAAGGTTATTGGGGAGAGGGGGCACAGACCCCTTTACTTCTCCTGTTCTTTTAGGGCTATCCCAATCTCCGTCAACAGCAAATGACAGCCAGCAGTCTCCTCCAAGCCGCTGTGCCCTGAAGTGTTTCTCTCTGTCTGTGGGCCCCAAACCGCCACACTGCTCTGGTCTCTTCAAACTGCCACTCGGCACATGCCACCACCACACACCACACCGTCTCTTTCTGGGTTCTCATATTTATATCCTCAGAACCCTAGACGACACCCCTCTCCCGGCTGCATGAGGAAGGGTGTTACCAGCTGTCAAAGGCCACGCCCTGCTTGGGACAATTATCATTGATGAACAAACTGAAACCCAACTAAAATCCCACACATGGCATTAAAACAAAAACATGTTTGTGTAACATAAGTGATTTTACAAAGAAACCAAAACTTCCATTACACATAAATATACTACATTATGACATGGATGTATAACTACCCAGGGAACTGAAACTTCTAAAACTCTCACAAAAGAATGCCAGAAAATACCAAATAAAACCCAGTTGAAATCAATATGGAACTATATAAGAAATTTATAGACAAATTACAAAGGACTAATGAATAAGCAAAACTTATTCAGCCTTACTCAAAATAAAGGACACATTTAAAATCAGATGCTATTTTTCATTTATTGGAACTTGAGAGGTGGCTTAGTGGAAAAAAAGCATTTGCTATGTAAGCAGGAGGACCTGAGTTCAAATCCCCATCATCTACATAAAAAGCTAATATGGCTGCATGCACCCGTGGGACACAGAAACAAGATTGCTAGAGCTCACTAGCCGCCAGTCCAGCTCCAGGCTCAGTGAGAGACCCTGCCTCAAAGGAATAAAACAGAGACTGATGGAGCAGGACACCAGTGTTCTTCTCTAACATAATGCACAAGGGTGTGTCCGCCTGTGCACACACACTCTCACACATCACCTACATACAGCACACACACTCACACAAAAAAAATTAGAAATGAGTAAATATCGTTCTAAAAAGTAAAATTATAATAATATCCACAGTGGGGGGAGATGTGGGAGATAAGTTTTCTCCTGTATCATTAGTGTGAGAAGGCAGTAGGCCTATAGTTTGGCAATTATGCTTATACGTGCATTGGAGATACCCAAGGAAATATATGAGAAAGAATGTTAAGCTCTGGACCTCTAACGAATAGATGTGAAAAATACTGTAGAGGAGTTGGCCATCCCCAGGAATTTTTTAAATTTACGGAATTATTCCACCATTATCCTAAACCATTTTGTCATTTTAAGTAACAACGTTGAGTCACCTTTTTAAAAAATAACAAAGGCACTCCTTGTATTCTCTCAGGCTATCCAGGATTTGCTGTTCTGACATGGGAAGTGAGAATTAGTATCCCATGATGCTTTTCTGTGGATTTCTATGTGCGTTTTCCTCATGGTGCTTCCTTTTCCCTTATAGTTGTTGGAAAAGGCAATCCTCCTCCTCCTCCTCCTCCTCCTCTTCTTCTTCTGGCAGTATATGAATAGGTAGAAGCCAGAGCCAAGCTAAAGGGTGATGGGTGTCATGGAAGGAGTGAAGAGACCAGAGTTACAGGCAGGAGATGGTTATTGAGAAAGAAGCCCACAGACGGTTGTTGAGTGACTTACTGATGGCAGCTCCAGAGCCATTTTGTGTCCCTCGGAACATTGTCTAAAGCTGCGTCTTGTTTTTCTTGTCCCCCCCCCCCCCCAGCTGGCTGTATAGGATTCTTCCTTCGGTTTCTCACAAGCCCTTTGAATCCATTGACCAAGGCCACATTACTAACAACTGGGATGAAGCTGGCCCTGATCCTAACCAGGTAACCTGACCCCCTGAACTGAAACACACTATGCATTCAAAGCCTTCAATGGAAATGCTCACACTGGGGCCAAAGCCATTGAAAACTTAGACCGATTTTTAAAGTAAACGCTGGCATGCCTGTTTGTGACTCTTGGCTGAGCAGGGAATCTTGAACTATGCTGATTGATTGTAAGTTTGTGTGGAGAGCAGGGAAGGCAAACATATCTTTTTGGTTTAATGTCATGTAGATAGGCGGGGGGGTGGTGGTTCAGACTTAGTTACAGGCTGGTCAGACTACCTGTATGCCCTTAGGGTTTTAACATTAACCTACACTTCTCTCAGAATATAGAGAAAACCTTTAACACTGACGTCCTTTAAGAGAGACTTCCGAAGTCTGGAATAGGGATGAGAGAATTGTCTGCAAAGGATTCTCAAAGTCTTCTGGTGGCAGACCACTGTTAATACTCAACTCTCATTCTGTAGCAATCACCCAGCACTGTAAGAGACAGAACTCTCTAAAGGAAGACAAGTATGAGAGCCTGCCGCATTTCCTTTGTCTCTGAGTTTAGCAGGCCTGGGCCTGGGTTTGCATCCCTGACCCCGCTACTTACCAGCCAAGCCCTTGAGCCACGGTGCCTCACTTATAAACGTGATGACAACACTGGCCTTGCAGCACCTTGGTGAAGGCTCTGTGAGAGAGTAGGTGCGAATTCATTTGCACGGTGGTGCCTGACAGGTAACAGGAAGAACCATGACTCTGCTCTGCCATCCTGGTACAGTCACTTGCAGGCTGAGGCAGGTCCCGGGAGCCTCGGATTTTACACTCGAGTAAATCGAGTTCTTACTTAGATTTTTTTTTTTCCTATTCTGAAGATCTGTCCATACCACTGCCTTACTTCTCTCCTGAGTCCAAGGGAACCTTGTTTCTCCTTGTTGACCCATGACAGTTCATCTATTCCTGAAAACATCTACAAAGTTATTTCCACTAAATGCTCAGGTTTTTTTCCCTCTTAGACAAAAATCGGAATTTTTCAATCATTTTGTTTCCTGCCTTGCTCCATATCTCCTCCTAATTATAGGAACTTAGAGGGCTAAGCACAGTTTGAAGGCTGCCCACCCTCTCCACCAAGAACAGAAATGGAAGAATTCAGAGTGGTCAAGATGTATCTTAAAATATTATCTACTTCAGTCATTTTAAACTGTTTTTTTTTTTTT